TGAGCTTTTCAACACCACAACTGCTTACGTTGTCTGCGTAATTTTGTCTCTATTTCTAGTTTCAGAGATCAACTTCTCTAAGTTCTGTTTGTTCAATAAGACTGCTAAGAAAGATGGAAGAATTTAAACAGACAAGCAATATATCTGTTAAAAATCTTCTTTCCTAAGATAGCTAGCGCTAAACAACAGCTGCTTTTATATTGTGTCCCCATGTTTTAGTCTTGGTCACTTAAGACAGTTGATTTTATCAACATCTCAAAGTTTCAGGCTACAGACAAACACTACCTACATTTGTACTCTTAAATAACATCTCTTCAGTGCTAAGACATGCACTCTTCTTTCAATGTACAGTTACATTACAAATGGCAAAGGCTGAAACAAAGCCTGGCACTTGAAGCATACCCCTGGCCTATGACAGATTATGAAATCTGAAGAAGAGGGGCACACTTAAGGCACCGGCACTTAAGACAATTTCTAGTAACCTGTATTTCTACTTGTCATGTATTAACATGCCCTGTGTTCAAGGGTGCACTGCAAGTTTTTTTGAGCCTCTAACACAGAAAGCAGTAATTAGTTGCCAGTTCAGAATCTGAGCTCTGGTCCTCCTCAGAGCAATGCCTTGTCACTAGCAATCTTGGACCATTTAAGGTCACTGAACCTGGGTCATCATTGCTGTGACACGATATACAGGGAAATTGTTCACTTAGTATTATAATTTGGTTTGAAAAGTCACATTTACTTGTACAGGGCACTGCAGCCAGATTTATTTGCTTATCACCAGAACCGTGAGAATCTGTTGTTTTTAATGAAGGCACAGTCTGTGTGGTCTCTGGAGTTGCTCTAGTTTTCAAGATTTCATCCACTAGATCAGATGCACATGTGGCAGTAGCAGAGGAAGCCCTTTAACACCTAGAAGTATTATTTAAATCAACTCCAGCTAGATTAGATATTAGCAATATTACAACAGTTGCCTAGAGCTGGTCTTCCACTCATCTCCAGCACTCAAATTGTACCAATATCAGATTTTGTTGTTGTTAAAACACAGTATTTTTTTTTTTAAAACAAAAATACAACCAAAATGTCTTTGATTTGCACTAACTGGCTGGCTAAACAGCACAAACATGCCATCCCATCTGCTGAAGGAATGGTTAAACCATAGAGAATGTGGTGACCGGACAGATGAAAATATAGGAAGCAAAACTTCAACGAGTTCCTAGAGCACTTTTTGTCTCCAGGCAAAATTTGGGAAGATCTCAGGCACTCACGTACTCAGAGACACAAAAGCTATTAGCAGGCCAATTGCTCCAAGTGTCATAATACCATGAAAAGCTGTTGTAGAATACAAGATACAACTTTTTGTATTTAGGATCTGAAGTAAAACTTGAACATATAGGATTTTAAGCCCTTTCTTTAGTGATTGCCAGCATATCCCATCTTCCCAACACCACTTAATACTGAGAGGTCTATTTTTCAAAGTTTAAAGAAAAGAAAGGGTAGAAAACTACAAGAATACTAAATACAAACCTATTCCCATTAGTGCTGCAAACGTGCCGAGAGCTTGATTACGGATACATGTCCAGAACACGACCTCAGATGAATTTGGTCCATCCTGAGTGTTATGTGAAAGGTGAAACGTGTTACTGTATAACCTATTACTACCAGCAACATAATATTTAGAAAGCCTTTAAGTGACCTCTTTTCAGGAAATCTGACAATATGGCCAAGGGACAAAAACCTCCAAATTTTAGCTTTCCAGTTGGGGTGGTTAAGTTTTGTTAGTTAGCCTTTGTAAAACAAATGGTTGGAAGAACATTCGTCATTTCCATATGGCATGAACAACTTATTAGCAGCACTATGGTTGCCTGAGGATCTTGTCCCTGCCTCAAAACAAGAAGGTTCATGAGCTGCAGAGGTGCTGAGAACTTCCTCGTGTAAAGCTAAGCTGTCTGGATATTTAAACTTCTCCTTCTGTTTAATTAACTTGTAAATCCATGTAATTAAGCATCTGAGCACACAGGCACTATTTTAATCCAACACTCAAAAATTTTTCTACTGTTCACACACTCTGGCATTCCTAATTAATTTTTTTAAATCAACATAATTTGAGCCAAGCACATGCTTTTCATTAAGGCTTATTCACAAGCTTTGTAAGTTTTAGCTATTCACTTCTTCTGAGAAGTAAAAAGAACCGAAAAATTAAATCCTTTCTTCCCTAAAAAGCAATTTTGAGAGCGGACAGATCAAGCACAGAAGTTCTCATTTTGCAATTTTTCAAGAGTTAAGGGTTGAGTTAGAACCTGCTCTCAATCAATTCTCATACCATACAGCTGACCACAGTGGCTGTGCCATACCTGGCAGCACAGTACCATGAGAATAACCAAGACAGACACCACCATCACCAGGACTTGCTCCCTTTTTTGAGAAGTTCAAACAAATCCAGCACAAGCTGTTCTTCATATTCACGTCTCGTGAAAACATTAGGAAACCACATGTGCAGCTTGTGAATTTTTACTACTGACAAATACTGTATCATGAGAAAGTCTTCAAAACATGGGATTTATGTGACCAGATGCAAACCTTTACAGCATAGACACCTCCCTATTCTCTTTATAGCCAATTGACAGAAGCAGGCAAACAGCAATTCATTTCCTCCCAAAGTACATGTCCTGTCAAATGAATCTCAACTCAAATTATGCCCATCTCTGTCTTCTGGTTGTAAGTGGAATATGTTTTCACAAAAGAAAGCATCTTTGGAAAGAAATCACAGGCTAGTTACTCAAGCCAGGACTCCTGCAGGGGGTGGCAAACCAGACTGCTTGGTAGGAGAAAAAGGACACCTAACAAAAAGAGACTTGAGATTATTTTAGAAGAAATAAATGCTATCACCAATCTTTTGAGCTAGATAGCAAAGGTAGGCAACAGTAGAGAAAGCATACCTGTGAAACAACGGAGTTAATGTGAGAGGGAATAGAAAGGATTCTGGACTACACGGAGGACTTTGCCTCAGTTCCCGAAGAATTTTCCTACCTAAAAAGGAAATGGGCAAAAAGAGCATCTACGTATGGCCACAAATTATAACTTCTAACTTCTGCTGGAACTAGACAATGCAGTACGTACTCCTTGATAGGGTATGCAGAATCCACTGAAATGTAATCAGCAGCAGGCCTGGTGCTGAGGTCTCGAAAAAACTGTTCCTTTTAGGCCAAAACAAAAAGAAAGGAGGATGTCTTAGCTCAGAGGCAGGGCGAAACAGGAGCTACACCCAAGAGCATGCCTAGAAACTGTAAGAGACAGCACCTGGACTCTCATCTTCCCAAGACGAAGCAAAGCGCATGGCTCCAGTAATCAGGTTTCAAAACAGCGCTGGCGAGCATCCAGCAAGGAGAGCTTTATCAAAGCTGACATCTTCATTTCTTGTCAGCTTTATGATAGACAGTTAGACACTTTCAGAAGAAGGACCACAGTTCAGATTAGACAGAGCTCCAGTTAGTCAAGTTCATAACCAGCTAGTATAATAGTGAGTGTTTTTTTTTCTGGAGCATGCTTCATACTACAAAGAAGTGCAAAGGAATTGTGAAAAAAACGCATGAATAAAGTAATCAGGATGACCAGCACACATTTTCTTCTTTCTATTTAACAAAGATTTAATGTTAGGTAGCATAAGAGTTCTCTTCTAATGGACTGTGCCAGAATGTAACCAGAACTTCACAACATGTCCCCTGGTTGTTTTCCATTAAAAGTACAGAAGACAGACATTTAGAAAGCAGCCTTTAGTTTAAATATGCTTTACAGAATCAAGAAACAGCACATTTAAATTTTAAGAGAGCTTATAAAATAAAGACTTCTGAATAAGTAACCTAGAGTTCACTTTTCCTACGGCTTTCCTCACGACAGAAGAGAGAGCTAACGCTTCAGGCAGGCAACAGCGACACCTACTGTTAACACTATCAACTGGATTCAACTTTGATAAAAACGAAATGCAGTTTTCCAAAGATTTTTGAAAGCATATTAAATATTGTCTTTTCAAGGGTTTCCTTTGCAGTACATCTATTGCTATTACTGCAGAACTAAGTTATCAGTCTGTCTTGTAAAATGCGTTTTAAACACAAATTCCTCAAAACCAACCTGCTGACAGTGTTTAAAACTTCTATTATATTTCCCATAGCTAACGTTCTTGAATTATTATAATTAAAGCAGATCTGAAAAACGCCTTCTCATTTACCTTCACACTAGCATTTTGTGTTTTTCACCACCAGAGACACCTAAGTAACCACCCAGAAGTGCAGTTACCATACCTTTCTCACACCATACATGTGTTGGAGTAACTGGGTCCTGACTATGCAGTGCCTCTTTGCTGGATTATACAAGGGAAAATTATGCAAAAGGTAAATTCAATTCAGCGGTTCAATATTTTAAAAAACAAGACAAAACATAACCACACACATTTAGGCGTGTAGCTGTTTTGTTCCAACTACAGCATCATTCCACCAAGTTAAGTTTTGTTGAGTTGCTTTTTTTCCCATTGTTCTAATTTATTTCATAGAATCATAGAATCATTATGGTTGGAAGAGACCTCAAAGATCATCAAGTCCAACCATATACCTGATGCCACCATGTCCACTAAACCATGTCTTGAAGTACCACATCTAACTTCTTCTAAGTTTTAATTTTGTTGAGAAGAAGAGAGTAGGGGCTTTCCACAGAAGCTCTCTAACAAAGAAACTCCATGATTTCAACATTCAGAAGGCAAGTCCATGGGCTAGCTCCACAGCCACCTCTAGTTCAGAGTGCTCAAGCCTCCTCCTGACAGAAGCCTAGAGACCACCAAGGAACGTACACACATCAAGGCCCATTCTCCTTGCTATCAGCAGTAAATCAGCACTACCTAGAATCCCCTTTGCACATTCCAGTCCAGAAGGTCTTTTTATATTTGGAAAGGCTCCTTCCACACACACTAACAAAAGTTAAATAGCTACACAGAGCATTCTCAAAAACCTTACCTAAGCAAAGAGAAGACATCGTAAGAGTTACGAACACAGTTCTGATCCACCTGGAGAAGACTATTCTTCAGGGTACCTGAGTGATCCTGAAGGCAAAGAAAGAATGTTAATTTAAGAATAAAAAATTTTTCCATTTTGACTAAAAGCATGCACTTTTGGTAGGAGAACAAATGATCTTGCATTTAATGTATTTTAAATCGGTCTTCATACAGTCTTACATACAGTAGGTAGAAACAATTTAAGGTGGCAATATCATCAAGTTCAAGTCTGGCCTACAACAGCACTTACCTGTAAAGTACCTATAATGACCTATCACTTTATCTGTGCTCTAGACATGGAGCGTGAACTTTATAATCCATTACCACACAAATTTTATGCACAGAAATACTGAAGGATGCAATTTACAGTACTGCCATTCTTCAGATTCAGGTCTGAGAGCCTATTCAGTAATGTGCCAGAGACGTACAAGACCATGAGATAAATCCCTATTCTTTATCCATGTTGTAACATATTTAAAAGATCAAAGCAATCTTAGTTTTGAATGATGTGAACAATTTTCTGGAAGTTACAAAAGAACCAAACTTATGTCATCCTTAAGAGACCAAAGTGTACTTTCTGCACAAGAGGCATCAAAATAGTAACAGACAAACAGCAATTCTTCATGTTGCAAAGGTCAGATACCGAGCTTTTCCATATCAGGCACAGTCACACAAATTCCCAGAAACACCACAAACTCTGAACTGTTTCTTCACATGATAAAACAAATTTTAAGCCAATCAAATCACCTGGTAGCATTGTCAGAAAGTTTATGGACTGTAGGAAAAAGGCATTTGTTTTACTGCATGAGGTAGACCCAGCTGGTACACATGATCAGCTAATTTTCCAAGAGTGATACAGATGTACTCTGAGTACCATGGTCCCTGCCTATGTATCCCTTCCTGCCTCAACAGGCTGTTTCCATATAGAAGATGTTGAAATGCAGAGATACATGTCAACATCTACTGACACAACTGCATTAGCCACAGGTCATGCAGCAGACATTCCTTTCCACCAAAAATAAGTTTCCACCTAAATAATCATGAGATCTATAGACTACATCATGCATCCTATTGCAACAGAGGCACCATATCAGCAGCTATCTCAGCTCCTCATTTCCATTCTCAAGATGTTGGATCCTACATGCTGAAATCCATATATATATCCCCTGAAAAAATACCAAAATAGAGACATCTTAATGCTTGAATGAACTAAGACGGTGGAAAACTGAAAATGCACAACTACCAGCATTACCATTTTACACGATAAAGTTGATGTCGTTTCAAGAAACACTGCTTTCAGAAAGCAAAGTGCAAAATTTTTCAGAGAACAAGAGGAGTGGCCTAGAAAAACTAGTTTCAAGAGGGAAAGAATTTGGAACAGCAACATATTTTAGCCTTTTCTTGTACTACAGTGTGTTGAAAGGAAATTCCCAAAGAGTCAGACACCAACTGGTCTATACAAACTGTTCTACCCCGAGGAAATTTGCAGAACATGCAACCGAAGGGTTTCAGACCTGGTGATTAAAGAAGTTTGCCTTTTGAAATGGGAGTTTGTCCACTTCCCTGCCACAGCATTTATTAGATACAGGCAAGTATATTTGTAAACATACAAAAAGCTGCAAAGTGGTCAGGATCTATCTGCTAAAAAAAACCAAACAAAAAAACCCACAAAACACAAAAACACAACACAAAACCAAAAACTAACACCACCAAAAACCCCACACATATGCACGGAAAGACCCTACCTGCACTGGAGACCACATAACTTTAGAGAGATGCAGCTTGCCAAAGATAAGGGCCTTTCCTGCTTGACGATTCAAAAAACGGCTACAATCCGGTATCCCTGATAAATATAACTTATTCCTCTGCACCCCTGTACCCCTGAACACAGCCAAACGTTTTGAGTTATGGAGAACTGTAGAGACTAGTTCTGTTTTTATTTCTTTAAGGAAACAACAGAAAGCTAGTTGTTAACTAAAAGCTATACTTGCTTCCCTAAATGTACTTTCTGAAAAGATATCACCGCAAGAGCAAGGGCAAGTCTTATCATTTAGTAGCAGCAAATATAAAATGGTAGAAAGAAGATTTGAAAGCCAGGAAGGCATTGAAGAAACCAGAGAAGGAGAAACCTCATTTTAGGAAAGCTAGTATAGCACCCAGAACTCTGTTTCTTGAACTGGGGTAAAAAGTGGGTTGTTTGGGTTGTTTTTTGGTTGTTTGTTTTTTTTTTTTAAACACACAAGCATGCAGTCTTGGACAAAACCAAGCAGATTTAGAAAACTGCTAAAGGATCAGGAATACATTAAATCCAGGTTGACAGCTTCAAAAAAAGCCTCTGAAGCTCACATCTATCTTATTCAAACACTGGTCAAGTTCAAGCAAATCCAAATAGAGTTTCACTGTGTGATTACTAGAGAGGATGAAACCAAGAGAGGAACAAGTGCTTCAGTGGTCCCATGCCAGAAAGGAAACAGGAAAATAAATTGGTCATGGTGGTGATGACAGAAGCAGAATTCTGCTGAAATCTTCTAGCAAAATTACTGCATAATTTGTAACAAAATAATAATTAAAAAAACCAAAAACCATAAGTCAGAGGTACAATTATGTGAAAGTCCAATGTGGTTAAGAACAAAGCAGCTATACTGGCAGCCCACCTTTGTATTTACATTGAGAAAAAAGCTATAAACGCTAGAAGTGTTACATGAGCCCTGTCAGACACCTACAGTAAAGCAGTAATACCCTTCAGGGCTTGGAAGGCACACACAAAGGCTTTTGAAACCTTATTTCCCAACTTTTTTCTTGCCACGAGCTAAGTATCCATTGTAGCATGAAAACTGCAGCTTGAATAAGAACATTACCCAAAGAAAACATTCTTTTTTTTTTTCATTGCATATCAGCAACACTCAAGTTGCTGCTGGACAGAAGAAATGGAAGAAAGGTAAAATTCCTAATACCTATATATTGTCAAGGATACAGAATTTAAAGTTTCTTCTGACATCAGTAGAAAAAAAAATGGAAGAGTCAGTGACAATATTAACAACAATAAAGAGGCCCTGGATACAATTCTTTTATTCTGTAAAGACAATAATTGCTGTACTACAATTGTCTGGTTTACCTAGAATTTCCCCACCAGTATTGCTGCTAGAGTTTTCTACTTTGCTCCTTTATACGACAGGAACTTCTTACAAAGCAAGCATTTTGAGCACAAACCTGCATTTTGAAGTTTACCTTATATGTAAGTGGGCTTGAAGGTTCTAAATCAGTAGCTAAAGTGCATTACCTCCTGAAGCTGCAAGCTTCCAGTGCTTCAATTTTAAATTAAACAATTTAGCAATAAGAATATTCCGATTTGAGCATGTTGCTCTTGCTGGTTTTGTTTACCAGGAAGATATGCATTTAATCAATAAATCTACAATTTTCATCAATAAAAATAGTTGTGACAGCTCCTAACATTCCTGCCCTACTTCAGTTTACTCTGCTACAATAGCTTTTAGGCTCCCACCTCTCAACACAGGTAAGTTCACAAGACAGTAAATGGGAATTTACATTTAGTTCCAGATGGATCAAGCAATGCTCAGAAGTACATCTACAGTGTGTTCTGAAACTCTTGAGTTCATGAAATATCGCCAGAATGGTTTAGTCCACTTCCAACAATTTTCTTATTTTGGCTCATAAGTGGTCTTAATTCATGACAAAGACATTTAATACATTTATAAAACGCACTTTATTGTAAGACTCCATAAATCCATTTTGGCAATTAATTCATAGTCCAAAGAATTATTAAAGTAACATGGGGGGGTTTGAGCAATGGGTGGGAAGGGGAGGAGGGGAAGAGTGGGAGGGGGAAGAGTACCATACCTTAATTTTATCCATACTGAGATGTGCAAAAATAGAGGACACTTCCAACACTGAAGTGTCTTTGTGCACAAGGTTTCCACTAGGCTTGCGAAATGGTATTTGTAAGCATCTATTTTCATAATGAAGTTTCATACGTGCCAGTGCTAAAAAACTAGAACTGCTATTCCATCCATGTATTATCTCAAAAATTGAGGCTTACGACTAAGATGTCTCAAAGTATTAGAGAGCCACCACAGCCACCAAAAAGACACTGCAAGAGATCAGAAACCTGACACCAAAAATCCCTTCCTACTGATGGTTTCAGGTGGTGCTTCATAAGTAATATTTAGCATAACCACCAAAGTGGGGCTACATATTTAGAATATCCAGCATTGACATATAAATTCTAAAGCAAGAGCAACCAAGAGCAGAAATACCCCTTAGGTGCACACAGCTTCTGAAGGTTACAGGAAGAGTTTGCTTGGGCCAACTAGTTTGGCTTGAACGGCAGACAAGTCACTTAAAAACAGAAGGTATGTCCTATACAAGAAGAGTTGTAAGTCAAGGAACTGACAAAGCAAGCAATCAGAAGCTACAGAGTAGGGTGACAAAATAAATTTCTAGCTCTTACAGCCAGAAAGAACTGAATAAATTACAGGGAAGGACAAAGAAGATTATTTGTGCTCTATATAGGCTATGACTGTATTTGCAACTTAGCTACAGAACACGTACAAGAACCAAACCCAAGATGTACAAGAACCAAACCTAAGATGTGCTTTTAAACCTGTGATCTAGGGAGCAATTCCTGACACCAAACAATCAGGAAAGAGAATAGCGTTACCATCATTGAATTCAGGCCCAGGTTATTAATACTGAAATCATGAAAAGCTAGAATTACATCCTGCTTCAGGAAAACTGAGTTAACAGCACCAGGAAGCAGAGTCCAAGCTACATACCAAACCATCTACAATTTGAAGAACAATGATCAAAATGCCAAACACAGTTTGGAGACTTGCGTAGAGTCAGAGAGTTTTGCATAGATGGTCACTCTGTCCCTTGCTCCACTCTCCCCACACACGAACGGTTACCTGTGCTGTTGACTATAAAGCTATTGCTTCCATTCAAATCCTCACAAGACTGGACTTGCTGGTTGTGCCTAATGCAGAAACTGTAGCTGCGTGTCAAGGAGTCATTTTCTCTCCAGCCAGGGACTCCTTATAAAACCTATCTATACCATACTACTGCCACCAGGAATTTGGGATTAAGAAAAAAAACAAAACAAAATCAACAAAAAACAAAACAAAAAAAGAGAAAAACCCCATCAGCTGTCCTATTTACAACAGGCAAGTTTAAACTTTTTCATCATTGATGCAGCTATCGCCATTGCCATATAATTAACTTGGCTGCAGTCACAATATTGGCTGGACAAGCACAAACACTACAGTGGAGCCTTTGGAAAAAAAAAAAAAAAACATGGGGTGAAACAGTTGCAACACAGAGCAAGTAAACAGCTTCCCACTTAAGAGCTACAAACTGGTTTTAAGACTGATAACCAAAACTTACTGTGCTTTTATATTTGCCATGAAAATAAGTCCTAACAGCCACACCATTTTCAAAATGTTCTATGTTTGAATGAAATGTCTGCCTCAAAGTCAAGGTTTATTTTCAGTAACCAGAGTTTTTTTGGACTTGAATTGCTATGCTCTAAGTCTTCCCAAAACAGCTCAGATGTCCATGCACCAGAGGCAAGATAACAGTTCTTAACCATCTTGTCAAAAAAGTATTTCTTCTCAAAATGAAACATTTTAATGTTTGAGCATCCAAGTGTGAAAATTTAAGTTCACAAGTTGAATTTCAGCTTGTTACCAGTACTAACAAGCCAGAACAAATACAAGATACCCTTACCTTCTGTTCAAATGAAGCTCCGTAATAACCATCATTGAGACCAAAAATAATCTCATTTGGGTTTCTTGCATGTATCTGTAAGAAGAGAAGAAAACAAATCATTTTACAGTCAGCTTACTATGACTTTACACAGCAAATAAGCATGAATTGCTCTGATAGTCAAAAGCAGTCTTTCAGCACCTGTAATTCTAAAAGCACATGAAACCTAAGAGAAAACTGAATTTAACCATAAAAAAAAATGCATTTGCTTCACAGTTTTATTAACAGTCACCATGTTCAGCCATTCTATGTTGAAATCAGAAACACTGGCCATAGCATCTTTCCTATTGTTGCATTTCCAGCTGACAAAAATAACTAAGAGACCAGGAAACTAATCAAAGAGATAAGTCTCAAGAGTAATTAACTTTCATATGATATTTCCTCAAATGATATTCAAAATTAGGCTTTTATGGCCATAGTAGACACAAAATTATTGTTCAGTATTGTACCTAATATCCTGCTATTAATGTAAAGAACATTATTTCAAATAAAATCATGCATTAGAGAATATTCTTTAGGGAGCCATTTCTTCCATCCAGTAAAAGCAAATGGAAAAAAAGCTACACTGTGAAGGGTACTGTGTCTGGCAGCGACGGAGTTAATTTTCTTCATAGCAGTCCGTATGGTGCTGGGTTTTAGATCTGTGACTAAAACAGTGTTGGTAACACATCAGTGTTTTAGCTATTGCTGAACACTGCTTGCACAGCATCAAGGCCTCCTGTTTCTCACTCTGCCCCCGCAGCGAGAAGGCTGGGGGTGTGCAAAAGCCTGGGAGGGGACACAGCTGGGACAGTTGACCCCAACTGACCGAAGGGATATTCCATACCATATGGCATCATGCTTAGCCTATCAATTAATCAATCAAAAGGTGCCCATTGGAATTAAGGCAACCTATTTGACTCAAAAGGAACGTATCTTTTGGTATTTTTACTATTTTTGTGATATTGGTTTCTTTTTGAGCCACTTTTACTATAAGCTCCACAATATAGAAAACACCTCACTTTTCACCTCTTTCAAAAGGCTACTAGTAAGAGACAAATAACAGAATAAAACAGATCTTATACAGTAAGCTCCCTGGTCTGAAGCTCTTTGATGGGATGTCATCAATATGAGAATGGATTAAAACTGTAATTAATAAACATTATAATCTATATTCATTTAATTGTATGTACAATCATATCACTATTTCCTTGAATCAAGGCACTGCAATTTAAAGTACCAAGTGCTAGCAATATCATTTGAGAGGCTCAGTCACACTGGTAAAATATTCAGCTAGACAAGATTTAAAGCTCTGAGGTAAGCTAACATGAATCTCTGCAATCAAACGTTAAAATATGCCCTTCAAATGCATTCATTTCCCTTCTTAGCATTCAATATATTCATTCATCCAAATGTTTTGCTTTAAGTAAAAAGTTGAGAAAATACTGTTTTCACATTACCTGCTGGCCCAAGTACTTTAACCCATCTAGATTGACCTTCCATTCAATCAAAAGCTGAAAGTGCTCCTTCTTGCCACCCCAGATCCTCACAACAAAACAAGAGACAGAGGTATCAAGACGATCAGGCATTATTCCAAAGTCCAGACTCCTCCATGTTGGATTCTGCAGGTATTCAAAGAGGGATAAAAACAACTCAAACAAGTTGAAAGTAGTCTAAAATTGACAATTCAGAAAGTAGCAAAGTCCACGTCAAAGACTAAAAAAAAAACCCTAAGAATAATGAACACCAGCCGTTAAGGTTTACACAGAGTTGAAGCCAACATGCTCTGCTGCTTTCTTATTCTGTTTTCTAGAAAGAATTCCTGGGTTAAAAGCTACACACTGTGAAGCACTTCAGAAACTCAAAGTGGGTTCTGCTTCCTTCCATTACAAGATGCAGAAGAATTTCCTTCAGAATTTACTAATTCAGTTCAGCCAAATCCAGAACTTTAAAAGTGGTAGTAACACTCCTTTCCAAGTTACAATTCAGTTTCTGAGAACTAGGGTATAGCTTACATTGCAAAAGTTAAATTTAAAATGCTGATCTATTCCCCAGTAATTCAGTTTGCATAATTTATTGACAGGTTTGTTCACATTCTTCTCCTCCTTGACTGATGCTGATGGCAATCCTCAAATGTTGTCACTAAGACCTCCTCTTCAGTCCAAGAGATCAGACTTGCATCCCAAGCTTTACAGAAGCAGCATACATTAAGCTAAACCGCAAACATCTTTTCCACTAGAACTCAGATTTGCAAACACGAGGCATTCCAAGAACTTGCACTCACCTCTGATAACATTTAAATTAAAGATTTACGGAAACTGTTGTAATTGGCCCAAGCTGCAACCAAACCAAGGCAATCCAACACTACTAGCACCAAGAGCCAGATACCAACTTTAGGACTTCCACAGGCCATAAATCACAGAGTATCCAAACACAGAAATGGGAAAGTGCTTTTTATATATACCTCCCTCCTCTGCCGCACACAGAAATGGTAGCTCCTCCAAAACAAAAAGTAGGAAACCACCATTCCATGAAAGAAAAAAGCCTTCCCTTCTAGTGCTTAAGCAGCTTGGAACAGGCCAACCATCTCTGAGCTGGTATTAGGCAATTCAGAATACAATGCCTCCAAAAAGAAGGGAGGGGCAAAGCTACCCAGTAAGTATTACAGAAGGAACGCATTAATCCAGTCTTCCTAAGGAGAAGGGATATTTGGCAGCTATTGAGACACAAGAATAACAGGCCATTAAGATACCCATAGATGATGTATGGAAATCGCTCAGGACATCATTTATTCAGATTTTTGTCTTCTTGTATCTCCTTTGATTATATTCCCTTTTAGTTATGCCTTTTCCTGACTTCGAATAGGCAGAACTCAAAATCCTTAAGTCTCAAGGAACTTGTTTCTTGTCCAAGTCAACAGCCTTGAGGATACAGACAGCTTTTCCTCCTTCAGGAGGTTTTCAAGCCTTTTACAGCCCAGTGTGCTATAAATGGTTCTACCTTGTTGACACAGACATTAAAAAGTCTGTTTAGCAGTTTTTCAAACTCCCTTCCCCAACATTTGCAACACCCTACTCCCACAAAGAGACCTACCCCTTCTCAGTTGTAATAAACTGTTCAGTTCCGGTCCCTTCACTGATCCAAACTGGAAAATTTAGAAACTCTAAGACGTTTTCAAACTTCAGTTTCTTAAAGCTATTAGCTCTTCAAAGAATACACGTTTATATATGCAGGTACATGTTCCTCACTGTTTACCTACACAACAAAAAGATGTTCAAAGAAATCAGAGGTATATTCTGCAACACTGTTTAACTCTCTCTTTATTTGGGGTGTTGCAAGCAGAGACTCTCCTTCTACACCAAGGTTGCTAAACTGCACAGCATGAGCTTCTAATGAATCTGTACACCCAGCAAAGTAATATACAAGTGCTCCTTGAATAAGCAATTCACAGACATTTAAACAAAACGAGCTATTTCTGTTGCTAACACCAGCAAGAACAGGAAAAAAAAAAAAAAGAGATGAATTGTAAACAAACCTGAGTTACGATGCATACAATTCTCAGATACTGAAAGAAGTTAAACCAGTAAAAATCCAGCTAATACTACTTTGTCTATTTGGTGTTCTCAATAAATGGATATATATTGTATATTAACCTGAGCACTGAACAGTTTCCACATGACAAGGCCCTACCCTTGGAGTGTTTAGTCCTGTCTGCAGGAGTCCCAACAGACCATTGCTCCACAGCTGTTAGAACAAACATGCATTTCCACTATTCAGTAACTCACTATTCCAACCCTTGTGAAAAGAACCTGAGAAGGAGAAGAACGTGATGCTCCTAGCAGAACTGAAGAGTGGAAACACACATTTAACAGTTATGGTATTCAGCAGAGAAATCAATATACTGCAGTAACAACACAATTTTTAAAAGAAAGTTTTTCCATATTAAAATAACTTACCAGAGAATTCTTGATCACCTCACTCTTATAAAATTCTAAAGAAAAATGAACAAAAAAACACCTTTAGATTAGCTTAAACACTGAGATAAATCTTAGTATTTGAAATAGAAAAAGCTAAAATAAATAACACTCATGAAAGGTAAATGCTAGTGGGTCTAGTTTCTCAGTAACAGATTCATAAGAAAGACTTTAAAATGCAGTCATGTTTTTGACTAAAAGTACTCATTCACACTTAATTATTAGAAGTCATTATTTAAATTTCGCATTTCATCTTCATACCCAAGATAATCCTCAAGATTTACTAAGGATTTGGTTTCTGGGGAAAGAACATACCCCAGTACTTTACAATATTTGGATGACATTTGCAAATTGACTAGTTTGTCATACAGCATCTTCCTGGACAAGTGCAGTACAGCTAAACTAATTGCACTGCTTTCCTGAAGAGCAAGGGTGACCTGTTCCAGATGCTTAGAAAGCGAACAGCCAAATTACCTCACAGAAGTGCCAAGAACCCCATATTTAAATGGAAATAAGCAACTGCTGACACATGGACCTTATTGCCCAGCCAAAGTAAGAGCTTAAAGTCTTTAGGTAGACAGCTCTGGAGGCTGGAATACAGATTTTGTACAATATCCCTCAATCCATTGGAGTCGAAGGATAAAGTTTTGATGGAGGCAGAACAGTCCCATACATGAGACACTGGAGAAACAGCCATCAGCTACAGGTTCAACCAACCACCACAAGAAAGTCCAGGTAGCAAGCTCAAGTCATGTATTCTTATCCTTCTACAACTGCAACCTTGAAAAAAGCAAGGTTCAACTACACTAGCTGAAAATAAAAGGGAAAAACAAAATTCATTTGCAAAGCTCCAACTGTTGATCATATCAAAAGGAGCATAAAAATAGATTTTCAATAACATCTCTCTACCATTGCAGTGGAAAGCAAAGCATTAAAGAGAAATGAGAACTAACACTCAGAGTTATCAAAAGCAGAACAGATGCCTGAATGCTTCCTGTCATTGGTTGAGAATTCTATTTTCGAAAAACTTTGATAATACCAAGTACTGGTTTGTGGTCCGTAAAATAACTGGTACACACAGAGTGGAACAGTCTCCCCCACACAAAGCAACTAAGGCTTCAAAAGCTTTAACTTTTCTGTGCTCTTGGAAGTTCCCAAGTTTCTTAAATTACTGGTGAGGGGAGAGGAGAGCAACAACAAAAACAGGCTGATTTACGAGACTCTACCAAATCTGTCATCTGGTTTGCTTCCTTGGCTGCTACTTAAAGGTTTTATGAAGTTCGGGAAACTAAAAAATTCTTTTCCACTGTTAGTATATGTGATGTAAATAATGGCAGCGGGTTGTCAAGGCAAAAAAAAGGACAGATATTTCCTATCACAAGAATTCAAAGATAAACTAGTAAAAAAGTTGATCGCAAGCCTGGTTTACCTTTGTATATCTTGGCGTTATCACACAAGTGAAGAGTGAAGTATGTATCCAAGAGGCGATAACCATTCTTATTGATAATGTTACGTGCAGCAATATTCCGAAGATGACGAAGCCGGCGCTACAAATAAGAAAAAAAATCCTAAATAGTTAAAGAACTTTCTCAGATTGAAATTGAACCCTTTCATTTGTTTTGTATTAAAACATTTTAATGATTTCCAAAGTACTGTTGTCAAAAAAAAAAAATCCCAAACTCTCCATTTTCTTTGGCAGAAAGCTAGTGTGAAGAACAAGCACTCAGCAAAGCCATAGGAAACTGACTGGACAAGCAACAACTAGCACCTATAAGCTCGGATTAAGCGACACTGATACACAAAACAAGCTATTCTTACTCATGTCCTATACATAATTTTTATTCCACATGCCTAAATCACCCCAACCATTCGAGCAGTTCCAAGGAAATAAGTGACACTATTAGCATCAAACAGCAGCAGGATCACCCAGGTGTTCTGCATCATCACACTGGAAACACGACCTAGCCAAAGCTATTTTCAACAAGCACTAGTGGGCAAAGAGCTCCAACATAAACCACCACCCAATCCAGAGCCATAAGTAACTGGCTGAACAAAGCTTCCTGAATTCACAGTAATCCTGGAAACTGCTCTAACAACCTTAAATAAAAGTAAAATACATCAGAAAGACATATCCAGATTTTCAGGGAAAATTCAGGGCACAGTCAAATTTGTGATGTCTGTCAGCTACCATCTGCTTGGATACCCGAGTCCTTTTCTCTTGGACTGAATACACTAGAATATGTCACTAAAATCTTTAGTTTAAGTGATTTCGTCCAACTCCAACATTACGTTAGTTTGCCACAAAATTGTGCCTTGAATGAAAAAATCATCAGATTGAATCAATCAATCTCTCTGCCCCACCGCTCTCTCTCTAAGTGCCAAACAGCTTTAATAGCTGTGGCTAAAATCCTCAGTTTCAAAGCATATTACACCCTTCGTCTTTGACAAATATTTAACATTACTAACTTACTGTTAAATTTAACTAGTTAACAAAGTAATTTTGTAGGTCTGTCCAGTCACTCTTAAATAATTGCTTAGCTGTGGTTCTTATTTTAACTTTGAAAACCCACGCATGCTTAAAACAGACTACCGTGAACTTAGCACTCAGCAAGCTGCCACTTCAAATACATAAAGTTCTCACCAAATCCTTCAGTATCATATTCTCCCCATCAATCTCTCAACCTACCAGCGTCTCACCCATTTACCATGGTGATGGTGACAAATGGCTCCCTATCCTTTTTGGATCACTACAAACCACGTACAAGCTTCAAACAACTGGTTTCATGCATCCTTCTACCACAGAGTTCATTTTACAGCATACTCTTTTTTCCCAAAATCTTGTTAATTTGTAAGTCTGGATCCACCTTAAACGAAACACTCTCGCACTGACCAAAAGTGGATTTAAAATGCTTTTGAAACCAAAAGACAACTTTTCTGTTTGCAGCTTGCCCTAAAAGGCTTTTGACAAGAGTTGAAATGCCATCATCTGTTTTGGAATCACACTATGACACTTTGTATCATTTAAGTGATATATTTCCAGAAAGAAAAACTAATGTAAGAGGAATATTAAATTTCTGTTCATGTGACAGACTCAAAATGACCAGTGGATTCATTCCTGCAAAGTCTATTTATGACTTAGGGTAAAAACAGAGCCTGAGATGGGATGCTCAGATACCTCTAGTATATACATGCAACACAAAATTAAAAAAATAAAAAAATTAAAATAAAAAGACATTCAAGCTGTTTAATTGCAGAACTACATGGTCTTATTTTGTTAGAAATTGGTATCAAGTATGTCAACAGAAAGATTAAGTCTCACTTAAAAAAGCTATATGGACTATAGACCTTGTACATTATTTCAAATCTAATCTTAAAGTTGTGTAGCTTTGCTGGCCATTTATGAGCAACTCAAACACTCCTTAAGAAATGGCTTTGAATATACATTGAAATCCCTATAAAAACAATTCAAGCATTTTATGTGCCATCTCTTTCCTTTTAATTAACTTCAGTAGCATACAAATCAATCATCTACCATGCTAATTCCCCCCTTCATTTTTTTTTTTTAAATCCCTTACAACCCAAGAAGAATAGCCCACGTAGCATCTAACAAAGAGAGCAACTTTCTCCAGGTCTGTTTAGGACTGCAAACTAATTGTGGGCCTGGTTTAAGTAGTATGTTACAATAAAGTAGCCCTCAAGCAAAGCCAAACAAGTTTCTCATTTTTCACTCTTACACAATGAGGTCTGGAAAAAGCTGTAGGGTGTCATGACCTACACTTGCACCTCTGGACAAGAGCAGAGTCCTTATCTCCATGGTTTGTGACTTCTTTGCACCCTTCAAAGTCTCAAATTTATCCCAAAGTCTAAAGTCTCACTTCTCCCAAATCAGTTGGAAGAATATCATTAAATTTAAGGCTGTGAGACCACAACACAGTTTAGGACTCAACATGCAACACGTAATGAATGGTTATTTAAATCTCCAACTTAGTCATCACTCTCCTCCTCCCTTCTGTCCCATTACTTGTCCATTTAGCCAAGGTGATAGGGAACAAATTCCAATTATGTGGACAATTTGCTCATTCGCATCCTTTAGTATGAGGTCATGATGACAGAGGGACTTAGATCCTGAAAATAAACCTTCCAGTTAGCCCACTACATTGTCGCTGGTATTATACTTCATTATTCAGATTTCCTCTGAACTCTACAGAGGCAGCATTCAGAGTCAATTAACCTCTCCTGACCAAAGATAATCAGTTTTAGTCAGGAGACCATCAGCTATGAAGACATATTCAAAGAACAATTCAAAGAGGTTCTAAAATTCTTCATCAAGGGCTCACAGCTGTTCTGTGACCACCAGTAAGTATTATTTTGAGGGAATTTTCAAATCTCTATTAAGCGTTACCTCCTCTGTGTTTCACAACGTTTTTGCTCGAGATGTTAGAATGCACAAAACAAAAACCCCACTGTGTTGTAATTCAGCTATCACTGGCATCAGCCACATCGCCCTGCTGCCAACCCTCACTGCTTATTCACACTGCTGCATCACCCTCCTCATTTGTACCACCGTAAATAAGCACTTGTGCAGCTGCTCAGTGAATCACACTGGGGAACCCATCTGGATGAAAACTAACCACCTCTCTCTTTTGCTGGGTTAGTTTCACCAGATCAGTTCCTCAACATGGCTCACAAGATGCTCTGCTGATGGAAGAGGGGACAAGCGCAGCAACAAGTAGCCAAAGGCAGACAGGACTGCTCCAATGAAACCATCTGCTTAAGATATGTGCGGAGCTACGTACAGACTGGCACTTCTACAAGCAAAGTCGTTCACAATAATGTATCAGTGCATTTCAAACCACAAAAACAACTCCTTATAGAGAAGTGACCCGTTACACTTTACATTGAATATAGTAGCTACAAACAATCCAGAGTTCTTTCATTTCCTTTTTCTTCTAGGTGAAGTGGGA